CTACTTTAATTCTAGATAAAACTTTTCTTTAGATTTTAAATTGCAAATCGTTACACTTTCTGTTCGAGCCGATATAGAATCTTCACGAAGAACTCAAGATATTTTTGGAAAATCTAATTTCCAAATAGAGATCCCAAACAAATTTCTATTCGAGTAATAATCTCTTCCGTATGTTTATTACAGTACGTGAAAATAATGCAAATCTAGTAATCATCTCAAACCTGAAACGTTTGTATGAACACTTAGGTTACATTAAGAAATGCTGAACCGTCCTGTTTTATCAATCTAATAGTACAATTATAGTTTAAACGACTTTTCGTCAAACTTATTGCACAAATTAGAAAATGGTTCTCTAAATTAAAAGAAAACAGTCTATAGACTCACTGCATGCAATAAATGTTTCTGAACCGAAAAATTTTTTATCAAGAAACTTGATTACTTTATGCTGCATATCTATAGATTTAAAAGTTTATATATCACAATACACACCGTGCAGTGATAAATATAACCTGTAAGAATATTACAAGATTATAAAAGAACAATTTCAAATTCTATATAATAGTGAATAATATAAGCAATAAGAGAATATGGGTATATTCATACATGTGATACAAATCAAGCATCCTATATAAAATCACGAATTGAAAAATTTCAATTAAATTAATCATGTGTAGAAAATTTACACTCTTAAAAATATAAATATGTATCCCGATCTATTTATACCGAAAAACATTTAGCGTATCGGCTTTTATCTGTCAAATTTTGCGGTTGGTTTTAAAAACATATGTGAGCTTTGAATCTTAGTTAATTCGTTTATAAAAATATTATTTAGCAGATTAAGGTAGTTGTTCTCGTACATTTAAAGTAAGAAGTTAGTCGACAGAAAGTGACGACGCGGCAACGTTGCATTTGATGTATAGGTTAGCATCGTGTTCATGAGCATTTGTGAGGTCACAAAGCATGCACTAATACTTACATACATATACAGGGTGTCCCAGAATTGGTTTAACATCTCTCGTAGGCAGGTAGAAGAAACAAAACTGAGTCGAAAAATCCTATACCATTTTGCTAGATTCGCAATAGTTACTGAGATTTTAATTAACAAAGATCCGCGAATAAGCGTGCATCAGGCTGTCTTACGCGCGGAGGACAGCCTGGCGCGCTTCGCACAATTACATTTTAATATGTATATGTTATAGTATATGCTGTTATATTAGCTCTTCCCATATGTCGCTATGGGTAACACCGTTAGCGCGCGAAGCGCACTGGGCTGTCTTACGCGCGTAAGACAGCCCGATGCATGCTTATTCGCGGATCTTTGTTAATTAAAATCTCAGTAACTATTGCGAATCTAGCAAAATGGTATAGGACTTTTCGACTCAGTTTTATTCCTTCTATCTGCCTACGAGAGATGTTAAACCAATTCTGGGACACCCTGTATATGCGTACGTACGACGTTGCCAAGTCTCCGCAACATCCTCCCACTTACGACTTTCATGCTTTGCACAATCAGCTAAATTTCAAACTTTATATTGCTCTCATTCAATAACTAGATAATAAACTACTTTTTTAAAATTATATTCTTATAGATATTTAACATTATATATTACATTGTTAACAAATTCCTAAAAAGATTTTCGGAGATAGAGCTATAATTGTCACTTCGGAGAAGTCTCGATATAGGGATTACGTATTAAAAGTTGAAACTTTGAAGGCAAGTAACTCGAATTTGAGACGGTAAAAGTCTTTAAAAGTTTAATCACATATAGATAAGACTTATATTAACATGTGGTTAAAATTTCAAGACATTCCTATAAAACTTGTTTTTGGGAACAATTACCTTAAGAGAAGACATAAGACAATGTTTTCTTAGATACATACATCTAATGATAAACTGATTAAATCAAGTATAAAATTGTTTAACTTTAATTGTTAATAACAAAAAATAGTAATTTAATAAACAAGTACGAATGTATATAGAAAATAAATACAAATGCACATATAAAAGACATAACAAATAAGGCTTATATAGCATCTAACTATTAAAAAAGTATTTGGTCAATGTGAACTAATGCATTAGCTGTTTTGTGCAAAATACATATTTATACTTAAACATGTACTTTATTACACATAATAATTTCAACTGAATTTCAGTTCAAAACTTCAGTTTGGATTTATTTTGGTTTGCATTATATAGAGATATATTATTTGTTTTTTTATGGAAATTAAAATCCTATTGCGAAAAAGAGAGAGATACTTTGGCCAAGAACTTAGATTTTCCGTATTTTGTGGAAGCGCCATATCATTATAGACACCAGTGCACTAACATTAAGTGATTATCTTGCAATATTCGAATAGGAGTTATAATTTTGGAATTAACAGGTAGAAGAAAACATCACTTCCGGCATTCTGAAATTTCTACATACCTGATTTACATATCTGATCTAGACAATGAATTTTCTAAAGAAGCGCTTTTGCAATAAGATTTTTTAATGTGATTAAATTTTTTTTCTCAAACTATTTGTTCTAGATGGCATTAAGGTTTGATAGTAATTCTTTAATTTGTGTTCTGTTTTTGTATTATGTTTTGATAGTAATTATTGTGTAGAATGTTTTTGTATAGAGTTTCTTTCTGTGTTTAATTTATCAGGTTTTTTCTTAATACCATAGTAAATATATTTAAGACAATTTATATTTTAGATAGATTTATTTAGATAAATGTATAAAATATCGGTGGTAATAGTATAAAAAGTATACTTTTCACATACAAGTATTTTATACTTTTTATTGTTTTATGATTTATTGTTTTATATCTTACGACAATGTAACATTGTACAAACTTTTATTTGATGCTACTTTTTGATGTCTTTTTTTGTAGAATAAGTTTTATACAAAACAATTTTTTGTAGTGTATAGTAATTAATGTAGTAAATATATATTAATGTAGTTATTTTTTCTCTCTACAAAAAATCATATATAAGAAATACGTTTTTATTAGAAAAATAAAAATTTGCGTTTAGAAGATGTGTGTTTTGTATATTAAACCATATAAGTAGTGCGTGTATTTGATGCTGTTTTTTTACTTCTTTCTTAAAAATGTTTTTTCGAGTTGCAAATAACAAAATCTATTTCTTCTTTTTTTTGTCATATTTACTATTCTATTGTAACATTCTCTGTTTATTTATAGTTAGCTTGATAATGACTTATCCCTAAGACAAAACCTTGCACATTAATAAATAGGTCACATCAATTAATATTAAATAACACACCGACTATCTGGATCCTTGTTTTGCTTAATTTTTTATCACATTTTGGTATTTATGCTATATACTGTAACACTTTCTGATTGGCTGTCTCACCAAGCTGTTGTTATATGCAATGCTGTTTTTTCTTGTATTTTTACATCATACTTTTATCTACAAAATATAAAATCTGAAGCTATCTATATATGAATATCTGATTGAAGCTACACAGAAAAAAAATAGAGTTGCTTCAATTAAAGTTGACGTCACGGGCAGCCACAAAAATAAATAGTTCATTCAATTGCATATGCGATTAATTTAATGTCTAAATTCTTAAAACAACTATCTGCTGTGTATAGTGCAATAATATTAATATTGCATCAACAGGATATATTTTAATTAAACTGATATTGTTGATTCAACATCTTTTTTTTTTCGTGTATCTATATATCCCGCATTGAAAAGTATTAGCACAGTATAAGTTTTTGTGAAAAAATAAATAGACAATGTAAACTAACATTTTTGTATAAAAGTTTTTGTTTTTGGAGAACTAAGTCTTTAATAACATATTGCATTTTGTGTATTACACTTAAATAATTTCTTATTGTTTTTATGCTAAAATAATTTCTTATTGTTTTTCAGTACTAGTTGAATTGCTTCTAGAGCGATTAATTACGTTACTTCGATAAATCAAGCAATATAACTGATTAATTTACCAGATTGATGTCATGAATCGATCCAGAAATGATTCAACCCGTAATTGGTCAAAAACGATAAGAGATTATTTAAACACATAGCACATAAACTGTATGTTAATTTTTTGTTACTTGTTTTGTTAATTATATTGTTATTTGATATTATTATTGTTATTTGTTTTGTTAATTGTATATTAAATTTTTAAGTTAGAAACCTTTTATTAATTTTTTTAGTTAAAAAACAGAAGATTACAAAAAAACATTTTATATACAAAAATGGTATATTGCATTTTCTGTTTATTTTTGAACTCTTTATATTATGTATGGTAACAATTTTGACAAGTTATATAAAGAACAAAATATAAATACCATAAATATATTAAAATCATAAAAACTTGTGTGTGTATATATGTATATATATGTATATATATGTATATATGCACATGTAACTTTACTTATATACTTTACTATAATATCATATATGATTTTATATTGCTTAATTAAGTGAAGCATTTATAAAAACACTAATGTGCATTGTTTTTATTTATGTAATAGCTGCTCTAGTGAGATACATTTAAGAATGTATAAAACATATATAATACATTTAAGAATATAAACAAAACAATATTAAAGATTATTTACTTGTAATACAATCACGCACGCCGTGTTTGTTAATGCTATGCAATGTACAACACCATGTCTATGCCACTATATATCAGATACTACAAAAAGCAATAAACAATAATAGATTTTATTTTTACGTTAACATTATTATTATTTTTACATACTTATTAAATCTAATTTATATTGTAAACACTATGAAATAATAAAAATAAAAATAAATAATAGTAATTTTTAAAACAGCGTAAACTTAATTATAATGTTTAATTAAGTAGTTAAGAGGAAGCTCTAACTTTAATAAATAAACTATATAAAATCATATAATTAATAAAACAATAAATATTTATACAAGCTTAACAATACGACAATGTAAGTATAAGCGCACACATGTTCAACAGACGGTTGCTTGTTTCGACCTCTCTGTCGTCTTCTATCGACTCACCTCGAAATATCTTGGAAGATGTGGTTCGAGCGCAAAACACTCCAAAAATATCGTTCTCTTTCGTTTGGCGCAACAAGGCCCACAAAATAGGCTATAACACTACACAAGACGAACTCTACCATCCAACTGCACTGATTGACTGTCTGACACTGATCGCATACTACCTACATAGTTTGCAGCTTCATGAGAGGAGCTAGCGTCTAGTTAAAACTGTAGAGTGGGGTAACTGACTTCCTTAACATTAGAAGAGACTGAAACAAGTTGGTACGACGAGCTTTGTTGGCAGTGCATGGTTTTTACATAATTATTATGAGTGCAAAAAGAAATATTAAACAATATACAATGTTTATATTTTACGTTTGTTTTTATCTCTATAATGTAAGAATTTCATTAAAAACTTTGTTGTAATATAAAAGAAAGTTTAATTCACGAGCAGAGATCCAAGTGACTTCTACTTTTATATTACTATGTTCTATTAAAGATAAGTGTAAGTTTTAATTACTTAAAAGTAGCATTCAGCACTTTAAAAATTCACAAAACAATGAAACTTTGCATATAAAGTAAATGACAAAACAATTTTCTGTTGCAGCTATATTGTAGATTTGGGAATACTGATTTTCTTAAAAACAATCGATTTTATGTTTTTAAACAAATATTGTCAAAATATTAAGAAAGATACAAAACATATTTCAGACAACAGTTGGTTTTTATGAATTTTCTACTTTTTCAAAAAAAAGATAAGAACAGGCGCCAAATACGTGCACAAAACGTATTATATTTAAATTAATAAATTAAAAATTGATTTTTAGTACTACAAAAAATTCTTTTTCTCTAAAATCTGTTTTACAAAATACAAAAAGTTCTTTCTCCATAAAACCTGGTGTACAAAATATTATATAATACAAAACATTCTTTTTTTAAAAACCTGTTTTACAAAAGAACTGATATCAAAAAGTAGCACCAAGTAAACTTTTGTATGTTAGTATATTGAAAAACAATATACAATACACAATATTGAATAAAAATACAATTTACAATAACGTACTTGTGTCAAAAGTAAAACTATGCTTTACCTTTTTCCCGTTATTATATACTACAAAATATTTTTCTCTTAAAACCTGTTTTATTGTTGAATTGAAAAACAATATACAATAATATAGTTGTGTCTCTAGTAAGACGCTTTAATTTTTTTTCCGTGATTATTAATAACTAATCCTAATTACACAACTATGTACTTTAGTAAGATTATATTTATTACTAGAACATAGAAATGTAAAAACAGAAAAAATTTTTTCAAAATATAAAAAATATTTACTGCAAAAAAACTTGGCGTGGCTGCTCCTCAACTATACTGAAATTATTTCTTTGTGCGGCAGTATGATGCAGCTACGCCAAGTTTTGTTGAATTAAATATTTTTTATGGTTTAAAAAAATTTTTTCAAAAAGAGATAAGGAAATGGCAATAATAAACTAACACCAGATGTTCGGGTACAATTCTTTTATAATTTGAAGATTTTAAAAAGTTTTAACAAACGTTTCGATCTACTATGGGATCTTTTTCAGTGTTTTAATAAAAACTTACAAAAAACCATAATCTATCCAAGATCATGAAGAATATGGACAAAAAAAGATACGCTATATAGATATTCAGTATAAGAAAAAGAGAGGCGGAAATGGCAGTCACGTAACCGTCAGTATTACGCAAAAGGACGCAAAACGTCCTCCCGTTTTAAATGTAACTGGCAGACTTAGCGGTTTGAAGGCGGTTGAATTCGTTTTGTCCACTTATTTTTGATTCAACAATAATGTTTATATTTGATGCTTTCGCGGTGTGTAGTATTAACATACAAAGATGTTTTTTCGGCAGCCTGATACTGCAGTATCACACTGCTCTTTAAATCCTGATAAAGTGAGCTGTAATGTTCACGAAACGTCGGTATAAAAATGACACTAACGCGGTTCAAACCCGAAAAAACATCTTTGTATGTTAATAATGTTTATAAGCAAACCTTTAAGGTACCGATGGGTTCTCCGTTGTCCTCTATTATCGCGGATGTAGTAATGCAAGATTTGGAAATTTCCGTTTTGAAAAAATTAAAATTTAGACCCGCTTTTTATTACCGTTATGTAGATCACATTATTTTAATCGCACCCGCCAACGATGTAAATTATCTTTTGGATAATTTCAACGGATATAATGACGGATGGAAGTTCACGATTGAGACGCAGGATGGAAATTCTTTGAGCTTTCTAGACATTAAACTGATTGTGTCTAATAACGGGATAATCATGTGCGATTGGTACCATAAATCCACATTTTCGGGCAGGTATTTAAGTTATTACCCCTCACACCCAGTCTCGCACAAAATAGGAACTATTATCGGAATGACAGAGCTCTGTTGTTGTCTTACCCTGTGTTTTAAGCAAAGAATATAAAATTTATAATCAACATCCTCATCTCCAACAACTATCCGTTGGAAATAATTTTTAAAGTCATCAATGATCGGGTAAAATATCTGATTGCGAACAAAATTAACGGAATATCAAACAGTTTGGAGTTTACACCAACTTCAAAAATCGTTAAAAATTATTTTGTTGTACCTTTTTAGTACTAAAATATCGCACACAATTTCAAAATCGTTGAAAACGGAAGATGGAAATATGTTAGCTTATAGAAGTCTCAATATATTGAATTGATTTATTAAAAATATTAAAGATCCTGTAGATATTGAACAAAAAAACGTAGTTTTGCATTATAAGTTGCAATGTAATAATTGCGATGCTTTGTACAAAGGAGTGCACCGTATCGTTCCGCTCTAAGGGAAGGTTTTCTCTGAAATTTCTTTTTTGGTTGCTTCTACTACCGTGCGCCGTATTTTTTCGATTTCCGCCAGCGGCCCGAGATTGAAGAAAAACGGCGCGCGGTAGTAGGGACAGTCGGAGGAGAAATTTCCGAGAAATACTTCTCTTGGAGCGGAACGATATGGTGCACTCCTCTGTACGTGCCAGACTATGAGACAACTTAAGACTAGGGTTTCCGAACACAAAAATCAAATTAATCGTCGCGTGAAGAATGTTTCTGTAGTTACACAGCATAGAATTGACACGGACCACAATTTCAATTGGCAAAATGTCAAAGTCTTGGACACAGTATCTTCCTTTTTCAAGAGATCTATTTCCGAGATGATACACATCAAATCCAGGTAGGAATTGACCACTGGACCAGACTTGGTTCAGGCTTGGCCCGAAGCTTACTATTCTTGATGGAGACTCGGTATCAAGTTTGGATCAGTCGTGGTCAAAGTTTGGAATGTCACACCAGGCCGATACTTGGCTTTGAGTCTGGGTCCAATACCAGGGCTGACACAGTTTTACTTACCAGTCCTGACCAGGAGTGGCCCAGACTTGGACTAAAATTCATTAATCTTAAATAAAGATCGGGTCATAGATGTGTATCAAATAATATTGAATATATTATATTTTTTATTGTATATTGTATATTGTTGTAATATACATATAATATATAATTAA